TCATACCAAGCCCAAGATTTTAAACACGGCCAGTGGCCATCAGCGGCTATACACAGACATTGTAGTGAATACATAAATGCTGGAATATCTGCTAGAAAAGGTGGATCTTATGGAATAATCTCCGCATGCTTAGAGAAAAGGTTTAACATTAGAGTATGTAAATATTTAAAAGAGAGTATTCAGCTTGTCACTTTTGACGGTGAACTATTTGCAACAGGAAAACAACAGAACCAACCAAACGGACCTTGTCGAATGTTTGTGTTCTGTGACAATGATTGGAAGGAAATTATGGAAATGCCAAGTCACAATTCGTTATTAGTGTCACACGGAGACTTTATATACATCATAAACCAAGACGATAAAGTTATTTATAACATTAATCCAAAAAAGAGATACCCCCATTTAGGAAAAATTAAAGAATTACCAGCAAATGTTGAAGTTAAACATGCAATGACTTTGGGAAACTTCCTTTTATTATTTAGCTCTGAATCGCTTAACGGTATAGAAAAGACAGCGGTTCATACATTTGGCATTTTGTCCAACGTTTGGACCAGACTAGACAATCTTGATGGACCAGCTGAACAGCTGATTAGTTTCAGGAACGACAAACACAGCTACATTCTACAGACCAATGGGAGTTTGCGACTGGTGCTTTGTTCATCTGAAACTGGAAACATTGAATTTAAATTTCTTACCAAACTTTGGAACTTCACAAAAAAACTGTATGGTGCGTTAACGATTCAAAGTAAGGTGATAATTTTTGGAAACGACCCCAACAATGATCCGCCCAACCAGAAAACAATTAGCCAGCTGCCTGAGCACTTTACGAGAATATCCCACTGGGGAAACGACGCTTGCTGTTCCAGTTTTGTTCCCATAACTATAATAAAGAGCGCTTTAATTGGTGTGTAATGTAATGAATTCACTATGACTGATAATTTGAAATATTTCTAGGTAAAATGAAATGATAATATTTTTTTCTATTTTGTTGCTAGTTTAAACCATCTTTCTATACACAAACCCATGTTTTAAATATATTTCTTTTTATTACATGCACACACAAGCACACATACACACATGCATACACACAATCACACACAACCACACACATAGTCGTTACAAATATCTGTTTAAAGCGCCTACACACATGTAATCGGTCAAAGGGACATAATTTATGATCCTATAATTTTCTTTGATGAATTTAAGAATATTTTTTGAGTAATCACTTTCACGGCGTGTATTTGTGTGTATGGGTATGTGTGTAAAAAAGGATTGTGAAGAATTATTTGTGAGAAGGCTATAAATCAGGCAAACTGTTAATTAAATAATTTCTTATCCAGAAAACCTTAGAAACGTAGTGCGTTTTGCGATGTTTCGCTACATCCTATGGAAATATGTTCCTTGAATCTGACTAAATATAGTCTGCCTCGTAAATAATTACTATATATACTTACTATATTTGAATAAATACACTGTGTTTCGTATATTTTTCTAAATTATATGAATGACAAATACATAATATGTTTGCCTAAATACACCTGACATAGGTTTCTAGTATTTTACAACATATACTTATACAAATACATCTAATTGTGTTTATACATTAAAGATAATCTTTAAAAATCCATTGTTAATTATTTCTATGATCAGTCGGGTGATTGTTTTAGAACTTCTACTTGAAATATAAAGGGAAAAGTAAAATTCTCAATGCATCAAGCAGCACCCTTATAAAATTAGCAGAAGAAACCTTAAAAGTAAAAAAGTGGATAGTTTCAGAAACTGACATAAGAATAAGGACGGGTAAGGTAAAAGCAGCCTACAACCAACTAAAAATGTTTGGGGTTCTGTAGATTTAACTTTTGGAATAAAAATCTGAGTTTTCAAAATACTAGTAAAACCTGTTTTACTCTTTGGAGCGGAGACATGGAGAATAACTGCCACAAATAAAAAGAAAATATAATATTATTTATAAACTCATGCCTCAGAAAGATCCGTGTGATTACGCTGGCCTAACACCATCACAAAAAGATACCATGGCAACGGATAATTCAGCTGCTAGCTAAAGAAGAGATCCTCCAGAGAAAATGGTAATGGATTAGCCACACACCTAGGAAGTTAGTATCCAGCTATAAAACAACAACACAGGCCGACAAGAACTTCAAGAAAAAAATTTCAAAAAATTAAAAAATTCTACAACCATGAAGACCACAAACAGATATTGCACTCTGATAATATAAAATGGTAAAACAGCACGCAAGGGAAAATAACAGACGTCTAAATTGATGATCTATAGGATGACCGCTAAATACTCATCTCTACCAAATTAAACCAAGTCTCTTTTAATTAAACGTTTTGTATTAATTTCTCACTATATACGCACCTCTATTTAACATCAAATTTAATGCAACTTTTCTTTTACAGACATCATTTAATATTTATCTCTGCTACCGTACGCCTAAGCACCTAGAAGCCTATTTTTAAAAATTGCATTGTCAGGCCAAAAACAATAAAATGGAATGGACACATGACATGATCCAGAGGTTTATCTAAGACAATCTTACAAGACACATTGTTAGAAGTAGGGGCGGGGGTATCAGAGGAGAATAGCTGGATGACATCAGGGATTGGACTTGATACAAAAGGATTACACCACAATAACATCTTACGTCTGTTTTTTTGCAAATCAATACTCCCATAACCATTAAACTCTAAAATGGCAGAAGAAATTCAGAAGACCTTCCTCGTGGCCTATGGTGTCAACCCATCACTTGTTGTATCATACAAAGAGTTGGCTGGTGTACCAAAAATAATAACACTATTATCTCACCCTACACCCTCCTACCCCCACACACTCTACATTTTGATGTGTTTGTAGAGCAAATCTACACACATTCTCCCATCCCCCATACCCTAACCTACGCTTCCCCTCCCCACTCACACAACTACCGATATGCTTCTGTTCGACACAAAACGCACAAACGCATAGTAGATTTAAAACGTGAAAGAGACATCATTTCAAAGGGTTCACATATAGCCTGGCTATTTTATCAATGGTTGAATAAACATACAAACCAAATGATTGAACTAACCCTAGTTTTATCTTCAGACATTGGCTTATCCAAAGCTATAAATTAGACCATTGACAGTCACGTTCTTCTTTAGACGATCCATTAGACAGATGAAGAAAAGTTCATGTTTCTTAACCTAGGCATATGAAGGCACTATGCCCAGCCGCCTTTACTTTCTCAATGTAAATCAGGTCGGACTCACGGACGTCCTACAGTCACAAGTCCAAACCGAGATCCGAACTCACAAAGCTTTAATCATTACCCTAGACCAGGGGTCTCCAAACTTTTCAGTCCGAGGGCCGCATTAACTATTACATTTCAGTTCGGGGGCCAGTTTCTTCCAGGCATGTCTTTGATTATTCTGGGCAAAGTTCCTCAGCCATCACCAACAAACGTTGTTTCCTTGGACAAAAAGATCTCCGCGGGCCGGATGAGGGGACTTCGAGGGCCGCATCCGGCTCGCGGGCCGTAGTTTGGAGACCCCTGCCCTAGACATAATCGAACATATATTCTTGAACATAACACTAATCCAAGACCGGTTCGTATTCCTTAAAGATGTGATGTGTAGATTATTGGTGTAAGGAAAGTTAAAGACGTCTATCCCTTCAAATGTTAACAAAACAGATAAGCTCTATTAAAATTTTTTAAGGTGCTTTAGATGATGACTTGTCATATCTGTTATAAGATTTCATTGGTTATGGTGCAAGGCCTTTTGAAAAAAGGAGAGGTTTGCTGCTGGGCTAGCAACACTGGCTCGTAAAATTAAAACCTAAGTACAGACATGGAGAGAACATTAACTCTTGTTTGTATAGTTGTAACTGTTTAGTGTGTTGTGTTCTTCTGTCTAGGGTATGCATACAACATACGTGTACTGCACGATAAAACTGACTTGCTAACACGAATGATGATACTAAAAGAGTTATATATATATATATATATATATATATATATATATATATATATATATATATATATATATATATATATATATATATATAATGTATAATGAATTAAAATGTAGGATACAATTTACGATACACAGTACTTGAAACACTTGTCCATGCCATCTGTCATTGACACAATCCACTCAACAACCACACTCCATAGCACACGTTCTGACACCCGTCAACTGTCTATCCTCACGTTAACACCTCTCGCTCCATGTCAGCACACTTAACCATGGGCTACAACTCTATACAAAAAGTAGGTACCTGTGATTCGAGCACACAACTCACAATCAGGGGACGCTACAAGTAAGGAACGTAACACCGGGCTTTACACAACCGTCAGTTGATAAAGGTACGTTTTCAAGAATGAAGTAGTAAGTTACGAGTTGCTTGTGGATAATGTTTGAATCGCAACTCTCTTGTGAACGTAAATTGTACAACTGCCTAGTCCTTAATAACGATAGAGTACCAACAATTGTGTTCAGCGATATTATCTCAACATTTTGAAATGCCCTATGAGAAACGTTAAACTGTATCAGTCAGGTAGTATGGTAGGAATGGCGATACAGCTAAAGCCAGACAGTAAATGTAAACCTCCCGTGGGCCCAGGGGCTGTGTGGAGAGAAGAGATATGATTTGTGGGGTACATCTTCCTCACTTAGACTTGATCACTGCCTAGGTTCTTCACCTTTATTGACAAGTGTGTGTATGAGTGCATGTTTATGTTAACGCGCATGCATGCGTGGGTGTCTTGCTAATCAAATTTGAAATCAAAGAATTTAACAGAGTAGAAATTTGTATCACTACATTAAACATCGTATCATAATATTGAGAATGTCCAACAACGTCCCTCCACAACACACAAAAAAACACTCAAGCACACACTCATTTTCATTTGGTTTTAGATATTAATTAACCAACAGACCAAACGCAACAACAACAAACTTTTGGTTACCATAAAATATGTTATTTTATTTATTATCATTTAGACAGTTTACATGTATTGGGTGTATTTTAAAATATTCATAAAATGTCTATGTAAATATATGTTTTTGCTTACATATTGTATATAAAATAATATCATAAACACCTAAAATGATGTGTTAGAAGATGATCAAATATAGATATTAAAACGCTATTTTAAAAAGATAGATTTTGTTTTTGAGTGGAAAATTCTTGGAAAAGCTTGATTAAGGGGAAAACCCACTTTTTGTTATTGTGATAGGAACAAAACTTGATTTGCACGAGTCATTTCCCCAATATGATATTCTCGTAAAGTGCTCAGGTAGCTCGTATGTTTTTTTTCCATTAGGCGGGTCTCTACGGTTTGAGTTTCCCAAAATTATTAGTTTACTCTGAAAGGTTAACGCACCATACAGCTGCTTTCTAAAATTCCAAAGTTTGACAAGAAATTTAAATTCGACACTACCGGTGCCAGATGTGTAATCTACCTGCCACAAACTGCCATTTGTCTGTAAAATGTAGTTGTGTTTGTCATTTTTAAAACTAATCAGCTGTTCAGCTGGTCCATCAAGGGTTTCTAATCTGGTCCAAACTTTAGACAAAATCTCAAATTTATGAACGGCCGTTTTCTCTATACCGTTAACCAATTCAGTGCAAAATAACAAAAGAAAATTTTCCAGAATAATTGCAAGCTCTACATCAACATCATTTGAAGGAAGATCTGTAATTTTTTCTAAATTTGGTTCCCTCTTTTTTGGATTGATGTTAAATATTACTTTGTTGTTTTTGTTTATGATGTAAATAAAATCTCCGTGTGAAACTAATAACAAATTGTGACTTGGCATTTCCATGACTTTTCTCCAGCTTTTGTCAGAGAATACAAACATTCGACAATCTGGGTTTTGTTCTTCAGTTCCTGCAGCATAAAGTTCACCATCAAAAGTAACGAGTTGAATGTTCTTTTTCAAATATCTGCATTGTGTAATTGTAAACTGGTGTTCTTTTTCAGCGGTTATTATATTAAAAATCCCACTACCATAAACATAAATTCCAGCATTTGTGTACTCACTACAAGATCTGTGTGTAGCCGCGGACGACCACTGACCGTGTCTAAACTTTTGGATCTGATATGACATGGCGTCCAGAATCAATTCTCTCGAATGTTCAATTTCAGAAAACAGTCTCAACTTAAGAACTCGATATAAAGCAGCATGACTGACCAGGCAGGTTCTGACTTGCATTAACAGTTCTGTAAGTTTAACTTTTCTAGAAGACTTTAAAGGATTAGTTGAATGAGTAGTAGTTACTTCTTGCACTGCTGTAATTTCAGTCTTATTTGAATTCTGTAAGCAATTATTATGATGAAGTTCATCCTCACTTTCTTTAAATTTCTTCGCTTCATCACTGAATAAATTGATATCAGTATTTACGTCGTTAAAGCTTATTGTATAGTTATGATCCTCATTTAAAATCTGATTTAGCTGATTTCCGTCAACATATTCAACCCATTGTATCACAGATTCAAGAACTAAATCTTCTTTACTGACAACGAGATCTTGGCTTTTAATCAAATCCAGAACTTCCTCGAAAGAAAGCTGTAGAAATGTTGTTGAAAATCTAATTTTTTCAAAGTTTTTTAACATGAATGTATGGAGTTTATCTAGCACTAAATATGAACCAAAACGCTTTGCATGTAGATAAATGTTTTCCCATGTGTCCAATGAACATGATCTGATAGCAAACTCCTCACAAACATTAACCATCAGTTTAACCTGTAGCATATGAGCTGCTTGCCACACTTCAATAAAATTTTCTACGGTTAACAGACTTGTTCCAGTGTAAATAGTATTGATGATTAGACGGAAAACTTCACTCGACACATCTTTTAGGACTAGACAGTTTTCCGTGACCTCTCTCATCCCAGAACGAAAACATGCCTTAAAAAATTCTGAACACGCCGCTAGGATGAGTCGATGACATTGGATGGTTTCATCCTGAACTTTCACAGCGAAGTCAAATAAAATGTTCTCGTTCCACACATTCTCCAGACTCTGGACGATCTGGACACAAAATTCTTTTTTGTTCATCTTTTTATCGTAGATTGGATGTAAATAATAAAATAAAGTGCGGCATTTGCTGACCAGATAACAATAGTGCTTTATTGGTGCGAAAGAAATTTCAATGCCAATCCGTTAACCATAGTGCGCAAAATTAAATTGGGTATTTTAATAATAGGCATGAAAGTCTATGTAATCACACCAAATTTGTAAAATAATATTTTTACTTTCTCGTATATACGAAGTATAGAGAAAGTCTTGCGTGTGTGTGTAAACACGATAACTTGAGTACCGTTACATCTAGGTTGATGAAATTTCATATATAAGTATTTTATCAAAATCGTAGATACTGATCAACGTTTGAGCGATTTCGGATAACCGGAAGTGGTACTTTTTCTACTTTGAATTTTTCAAAAGCCTATAACTTGGGTACTATTTCAGATAGATAAATGAAATTTCACATGTAAGTAAAAGATCTAATACTCTAACTTCTTTCAAATTTTGAGTAATTTCCGTTGAACAGAATTACTAATTGTAGTGAACGAGTGAAGGTGGATGAATGGGGGTGAATGTTGTTGTATTTGGTACCCTGTTCCTTTCGACCTTCTTCAGTTCTCGTGCTGTGAGTTATAATAGTCCAGTTTGTACCAGTTTATGAAAGGGTATATAAGGTGTTTGAAAACGTGTGTGATTGCCTCAGTTTTGTCCAGATCTCAAGGGTTAGTACAGGTTAGGTACCAATCATAACTGAGTGGACTCACAGACGTCTTACAGACTCGAGCCAGGAGTTCGAATCCGAAACTTTCTAGATGGTAGTCGTATGCTCTGACTTCATGGTCGAATGACAGACCATACTACTTCTAACCTGAAAGTCTCCAGTTCTAATCCGTGTTCGAGTGCGTGAAATGTCTCGTAGTCAAAGCAGCTCTGATGGGTACCTACAACAGGTTAGGGACGTAAGGAGGCTCGACATTACAACTACTTTAATGCACACGGAAAGGTGTAAGATTATTTGTTTAAGAAAATGTTACGTTGCTTTCTATGCCGTCTGGAATTTTGTCGAAAATTTAATTATTAAATAACAAAAAATAACTAATTTTTTCTATCCCAACAGTAAGATCGAAAACTCATCGTTAACACGGTTGCTTCCATTAGAGAAAAACATGCATTTTATGAAATGACTAGACTACCCGTCATCCGTTGGATAACTGTGGGTTTCGGGGGTCATCCATCAAAAAACATCACGTCTGTCACTCAGAAGCATAGCGACCCTTCCCGGCGCCCGAGGACAAACTTTTCGATTTGAACCCCCCTCCCCCCCCCCCGCAGGATTTCCATTTGCAACCCCCCCCCCCCCCTCAAACTTTTGGTGTGCACCCCCCCCCCCCTCAAACTTTCGATTTGCACCCCTCAACCTTTCAATTGATTTTTCCAACCCATTTTGGCGCCCCCTGAGGTCGGCGCCCGGGGACATATGTCCCCCCCCCTTGCCTCCCCCCCCTCCTCGCTACGCTACTGCAGTGTCACTTATCGTCACAAAAAACAGACCCCACATTCAAAAATATGTTTTTTATCTTTTAAAAACACCGAAAACACCGATTTCGGACTATCCCTTCATATACTGACGTCACAGGTGACCTACTCAACTCTACTTCACCTGCCCAGTGTCCCGCCAAGTCTCAGACAACATGTTTTTATCGTTTAAAAAACGATTCCAGCCGAGCATGTCTCTGACCACACTATCCCTTCATATGCTTAGGACAAAGAAACAGATGAACCCTACTTCACCTGCCCTGTGCCCCGCGAGGTCCTGATAGCCAACCTTATCATTCACATATAGGGCTTAAGAAAAAATAATTGAAAACGTAAAAAAAAAAAAGTTCATTCTCCAAAGCAAATTTTAAAATGCTTTTCTGGCATATCTAGCCCTGGCCACCTATACCATGTTTAAATAATGTGAACACCCGCCATTTTGCTCGTGGTAAACATGGCCTAAAAATGGCCGGAAGTCATGTGTCCGGTCCGGACGCCATATTGTTGTTAGCAGCCGACCACGCCTCCAAGTTAGTGAGTAATCCTACTATATCTAGATATAGAACCTAGATTTTGAAAAATCCCATGTATTCTCGAATTAGATGATCATTGAAGCTAAACAAAGATTTATATAAAATAATTAAGGCCTGAAATAGATTCTAGATGTAGAATTTACATTAAGTCTAGATCTAGAATTTACATTGAGTCTAGAGTGACCTAGATCTAGGCTAGATCTAGATCTAGATCTAGAACTAGAATCTAGGCTACATTCATAACTTTCCTTCGACAGCTGATCTTTAGATCTAGAGAAATTTATTGTAAAACTAAATGAAAAAAGACAGTTGAAAATTGATATAAGTGTTGGAACGTAATAAATACAGCAAACGGACGTATTGTTAAGTTATGACCGACAGAAAATTAGTTTTAGAACGCGTTAAACTTTTGAATGGGAACACAATTTTCTTCGATAGACGCCGCCATTATATTGTACTAAAGAGTAAACAAAAAACTGTGACGTCACGGTCCCGCCGAGTGTAGTGGTCGTTCTAATCTTTTTAAAAAAATAGGGTTACTCTACGTATGAATAAATCAATAAATTAATTAACGTCTATAAATAAATTTGTGATTAACAGTCTGTCTGCCTTAAAAAATTATTCTCTACCTACATACTATTTTACAGCTCTCCAGATAGAGTAGAACATATCACAATACTCGATCGGACAAACAAAAAAAACAAACAAATAAATATTCAAACATGTAAACAAACTTGACTTTTAGTAGTATTAGATAGATTGTTAATAAAATACCTATTTGATTTTGCGCACTATGGATAACTATATTTGCCTTTAATTTTGTTTCGCACCAATAAAGCACTCTTGTTATCTGGTCAGCGAAAACCACATCTTATTTTATTATTTTCATCCGACCTACGGATACAACATGAGCAAACAAGAGGTTTGTGTCCAGATCGTTAACAGTCTGGCGAATGTGTGGAGTGAGAACATTTTATTTGACTTCGCTGTGAAAGTTCAGGATGAAACCGTCCAATGTCATCGTCTCATCCTAGCGGCGTGTTCAGAATTTTTTAAGGCATGTTTTCGTTCTGGGATGAGAGAGGTGACAGAAAACTGTCTAGTCCTAAAAGATGTTTCGTGTGAAGCTTTCCGCTTAATCATCAATACTATTTATACAGGAACAAGTCTGTTGACTTTAGACAATTTTACTGAAGTGTGGCGCGCAGCAAATATGCTACAGGTTGAAGTTATGATTAATGTTTGCGAGGAGTTTGCTATCAGATCATGTTCATTGGACACCTGGGAAAACATTTATCTACATGCAAAGCTTTTCGGTTCATTAAAAGTTCTTGATAAGCTCCATACATTCATGTTGAAAAACTTTGAAGTAATTAGACATTCAACAACATTTCTACAACTCTCGTTCAAAGAAGTTCAGGATTTGATTAAAAGTCAAGATCTCGTTGTAAGCAAAGAAGATTTAGTTCTTGAATCTGTGATACAATGGGTTGAATATGTTGAAGGAAATCAGCAAAATCATATATTAAATGACAATCATAACTATACAATAAGCTGTAACGACGTAAAGACTGCTATTAGTTTACCCAGTGATGAAGCGAAGGAAATTAGAAATAGTGAGGATGGACTTCATCCTAATGATAGCTTACAAAATTCCCATAAGACTGTAAGTGCAGCAATGCATGAAGTACACACTGCTCATTCATTTGATCCTGTAAAATCTTCTAGAAAAGATAAATTTATAGAACTGTTAATACATGTCAGAACTTGCCTTGTCAATCATGCTGTCTTATATCGAGTTTTGAAGTTGAAACTGTTTTCTGAAATTGAAAATTCGAGAGAATTGATTCTGGACGCCATGTCATATCAGATCCAAGAGTTTAGACACGGGCAGTGGTCGTCAGCGGCTATACACAGATCTTGTAGTGAGTACACAAATGCTGGAGTTCTTGTATATGGTAGTGATGGGATTTTCGAATTAATAACCGCTGATAAACAGCAAAATTTTAATTTTACACAATGTAAATATTTGAAAGAGAACATTCAACTCGTTATTTTTGACGGTGAACTTTATGCTACTGGAAAACAACTGAATCAACCAAATGAACTTTGTCGAATGTTTGTTTTCTGTGATAACAACTGGAAGGAAGTGATAAAAATGCCCTGTCCCAATTTGTTATTAGTTTCACACATGGACTTCATCTACATCATAAACAAAGACGATAAAGTTTTATATAGCATGAACCCAAAAAAGAGGGAACCAATTTTAGAAAAAATTACAGATTTTCCTTCAAATGATGTTGAAGTAAAACATGTAATGGTTCTGAAAAACTTCCTTCTATTATTTTGCTCTGAATCTGTGAACGGTGTAGAGCAGATAGCCGTCCATAAATTTGAGATTTTGTCCAAAGTTTGGACCAGATTAGACAATCTTGATGGACCAGCTGAACAGCTGATTAGTTTTAAAAATGACCAGCACGACTACATTTTACAGACAAATGGCAGTTTGTGGCAGGTAGATTACACATCTGGCACCGGTAGTGTTGAATTTAAATTTCTTGTCAAACTTTGGAATTTTACAAAGAAGCTTTATGGTGCGTTAACCTTTCAAAGTAAACTAATACTTTTTGGAAACTACTACGGTAGTGACCCGCCTAATGGAAAAAGAACATACGAGCTACCTGAGCACTTTACGAGAATATCATATTGGGGAAATGACTCGTGCAAATCAAATTTTGTTCCTATCACAATAACAAAAAATGGGTTTTAGAAAAAAACTTTACAGTGCGTTAACGTTTCAAAGTAAACTAATAGTTTTGTGAAACAAAACCAACAATGATAAACGTAATGAAAAAAAAACTCCCTTTGCTTCCTGAGCACTTTACGGAAATATCCCTCTGGGGAAATAACTTTTGCTGTTCAAATTTTATTCCCATCAACATAACAAAGAATGATTTAGTTCCCGTTAAAATGGTC